CGAATCGGACTCCAACGCTGCGAATGAGAATGAGAAATGAGTCAGCTGCGACCGGCCCCGAACTCTAAGTTCGAACTTTGAGAACGAAGTTGGAACTTTCAGTTCCGAACTTGGGGTTCAAACACCCTTCCAAAAACTTATGTAGGGTTCAACTCAGGTTGACCCTGGGTCTTTCCGCATGCAATCCAGGTTCAATCCAGGTTTCAAAAACCGAAGGTCCAAATCCAATAGAAGATACACGAATTCGCAACAACAATTGTGACTTTTCCACTGCAGGAAGCTATCTGACAGAGCAAACAGCATGCTCCGCTTGCAGGAAAGACTTCTTGCTGCGTTTGAAACGATGTAGGGCTGGAGACCCGAAGGACACGTGGATCGCATCCCAGAGTAAAGTCGTCTTCGAGGACGGGGCTTTCAAGATCCCCATCTCCAAACTCAACTGCACTATACAGGACGAAAGAGGCAAGCTGTATATTCATAATTAGCTAACTTCCTAGACTGACTGACTGACGACTGTATGTTATAGAGGAGGAGAGCAGGAGAAAGGCCCGCACATTGAAGCAAAGACACACCGAAGCCTGGATTTCGAGATTTGGGCTCTGGGGATACGATGTTTGCTTTGGTTTGTGGCGTGGCTTCGTCTGCCATTCTGCCAACAAGATTCTGAGGTTGAGCGGCCCTGTCAGCATTACCTGTATGCATGCTGCTTGCGCGCAGACTTGATGCTATGACAACGACTACCGTTCCTGAACTAAGGGTGCTGTCGCGAAGGTAACAGTCATGAACGTCACGCGAAAGGGCTTCCGGGATCTGGAGCTTCAACAAGCTCTCGTTCACGTGATCGGCCCTTTTGCCGGGGCATGTACGGTTTCCAGGCAGAGGCCGCTTGGAGACATGTTTTGCCTCCTCGCAGGAGGCGGTGCGCGTCGTCAGCTTCATCAGCGACATCTGCACTGATCGCACGTGCCCGTGCATGTCTGCAGGCGGGGGAGCTTTGAGGTCCTGGCTATGGATTAGGCGGAAGCCGCGGACTCCAGCAACAAGCCAATAAATGTAGCACAGCGGGAGGATAGCGAAGGAATCCGAGTCATGATGCGTCATAGTAGAGATAGAGTCCGAAAGTCAAAGAGTCGAATAGGGCTGTCTGCCCAGTATCATTATGCGTTACGTTCGAGAATCCCGAAGAGTTGTGTCACATGCTTAGACCCCTGCGGTTGATGCCTGATCAGGCAAGCTACTCTCCGAAGCCGCTCCCTGTCGCCTTACCCTTATTACAGTACCCTTATAGTACCTTTGTTATAGTACCCTTCTAGGAACCCTATTAGAGTACCCTAAACTACAACCCGATCCTTTGGTGTACAAGAGTTTGTAAGGGCAGTCGGGTGCGTATCCGAAGCAGCCGTGGCACCATCCACACAGACTCCCAAAAGGGCGACCATTGGTTCCTTCAAGAAGGGCAGCAAGGATAGACTTCCCAAGGTCAGAAGCCCCAACATTCACAAGACCCGAAGGTGAGAAAGTGCACTATCACTGGGCGGATGAAACGACCGCGGTTCCGGAGCTCCTGCGTCTTGGACAAGTTCTGGGGATCGACAGGGAAGAGTATGGAGGGGGGCTCCCCGAAGGAACTCCCACAGTTTTCTGCCCCGTAGATCAGTTTTCGTTTTCTGTGCCCAGTTGTTGGGAAAGACAGGAGCAGCAGGAAGCGGTATTCAAGAGACATGGAGACACGTGCTATGCGATCTTGATCCATCTTGATCCCGTGCTCGACTTATGGAGCTGCAATGGACGTGAAAAAGCCTGAGTGGCTGTGTAGTATAGGAGGCGTACTATTTGTGTTCTTTGAAGGGTTCCTCTCAGGGTACTACTAGCATTACTAGCAGGGTGTAGTATAGTATAGGGGCCTTGACAAGTAGAATCGGGTTTTGATGCACAGTATTCTACGGGACAAGCTGAATCCCCGGCTCGTTGCTACACAAGGCAGTCTTGGAAGATGCAGTGATATCGCAGAAACACAGCAAAGTGATGGCAGCTAGGTTCCAGCACCAGTCGTTGGGTTTTGTTGAAGATACTCGTTGAGTGCCTTCGAATATTGTCGCATACACCTGCTGAAAATTCCTCTTAGGTATCTTGGATCCGGATTACCAGATTCTATTGGCTGTCTCTGGCTGACGCTCAGTAACTCTGATAGAGATTTGTTGTTTTGGTATGTGGGGTAGTGATCTGAAGAAGCTTTCCTAAACAGAGGCCCTGAAAGAAACCCTTCAACGAACCCTGTTGCAATTGTTAGGGCCAATATGGTGAGGCCCGCGCCGCAGTACATGCGGCGCCTCGTCGAGTGGGCCGATGCCAAGCTTCTGGACCAGGATACTGCAAGACGCAAGATAATCTAACATAGTAACTAGCAGTAAACAGCGTACATGTACCAATGATAAGTAGAACAATACCAATAATCATGATAAGTATACTAGATCATAGCAATAGCAGGTATCAGCAAGTGTTACAAAACATGTCTTCACCCCATTGGGCATTGCAAACCGTGCAGGACAAGTGACTCGGAACGCCTCAATAGCTTTGAGTATTGTACTCTTGGGCTCGTCGTTCGTCCGATTTTGCCTCAGCTGGGATGGATATGGGGGTTTCCAAAAATAGGGTATCCTAATACAGTACCCTAAATTGTAGGATCCTTGTTATAAGGACCCCAAAATAGGGAACCCTAATTTGGGGAAACTCCCATCTTCCACAGCAGCTCGCTGAAGTCGCCTTGTCGTTGGCGTGGGGAACGTAGGCAGCCGGTCTTCCCAGGCACCGGGTCGAGCAGACCAGTCAGCTGCTGCAAATTAGGGTACCTTAGTTTGGGGTCCTTATTATAAGGATCCTACTATTCAGGGTACTATATTAGGGTTCCCTATTTTCGGATGATCTGACATAATGTCGTCTCATAAAAATCACAGTAGCAACATGAATATGATATGACCAATCGTAAGTATAAGAAGACAAATCCATCACTAAGACTGGTACGGTTTAGGGGTTTAGGGTTTAGGGTTTAGGGAGGGTTTAGGGTTTAGGGTTGAGGGTTTAGTGCCGAGGTCAGATCTGCCAAGTTGTTTCGCACAAATCGAGGCTCCAGGGCTTCTGGTTTTTGGGGGTTCAGGGCTTGATGATGGAGTCTTCAGGGCCTTATAAACCTAAGCCCTGAAACCATAAACCCTTAAACCCCTAAGCCCTTAAGCCCTGAAACCATAAACCCTTAAACCCCAAAGCCCTTAAGCCCTAAACCCTTAGCCTTAACCCCTAAACCCTTAAACCCTAAACCCTTAGCCTTAACCCCTAAACCCTTAAACCCTAAACATCGAATTTGTGGGAACCTGCTGCGCTCTACCAAGCTAGGACCTCCTTCCGCTGGACGGCTCCCCCATGCCTCCGGAGCTGCGCCCTGCGCCCGCGGAGCAGGAAGAGCTAGGTTTAGGGTTTAGGGCTTAGGGGTAGGCTTTACTTTGATTTTCTGCTTAGATCTTGGAGTCTTTAGGGTATTTTTGGGCCTTTGCTGGAGCTGGAAAGTTGGCTGCTCAGCAGTCGAATTTGGCGCCCGCAGGAGAACTGCGTGGTTGCATGGATGGAAGGAAGGACGGCACTGCATGAATGAATTGAAATGAATGAACGAAATGAATGAATGAATGCATGCTTGGATGGATTGATGGATGGATTGATGGATGGACGAACAGACAGGAAAGGAATGGAATGGAATGAATGAACGAATGAATGAATGAAGCGAGTTCAGTTGCCCCTCCCCCACCTTTCTGTGAACCTTTCGGCATTTCGAGGTGCTGTCCCAGATCCTCAGGCGCCTCTTCCGCGTCTATGCGCACGCGTGACCTGGCTGTCCCCTTTTTCCGGCTGATCTTTCTGAGCCTTGCAGCCACTCGCGCGAAAGCATCATCAGGACAAGAGTAGAACTGCAGCTAGGGATACGGCCAAGCAAGACAGAACATCAAGGCAAGGAGCAGAACAGGGGGTATGCCAGGCCATCCCTCCATGCCCCTGTAACTCGTGCATCCCGATTGCTGTTGTCGCAGTACGCACAGCTACAGTAACGGCAAGAAACCAGCTTAGTTTCGTTCGCATCTCTGTCTGTGCTCTGCTTCTACTGCTGGTATCGTCATTATTGCCATCATAAGCACCATCATTGTCATTGTCAACGGGTATCGTCATCGCCAGTCGTTGTTGTATCCATCGTCGTGGTCGTAGTCATAGTCGTCGTCGTGCTGATCTGATCGAGGACATGTCGCGTTACTTTTATGCGGCTGATGCCTTTAGCAGTTTCTTTCTTTATCGGCGCAGATTTTCCCTACCACTGACGGCTGTATGTTGTCTTTACTGTTTCTGCCACCTGCTACCAGGATTAGGACCACGTCGAGCTTGTTTCGAACTGGATCTCCGGAACCACCAAAGCTCGCAAGCCCCACAGACCAAATAGGTATGTCCATCACTTCCAACTCATCCACGACAGCGGCGCTGAGGCACATCTCAACTGCAACTGGGCTGCCGAAGCACACATGTCATGAATATATAGATGCCGCCGAGAAGTTGTGTTTATCGTCAGTATCAGTATGACTAGTCGGTGCTGACGGGCAACAGACCACAGTGCCTTGCGCGTTCGAAGAAATCAGTATTACCAGTACGTCTACTACCACCACTACCACCTCGAGATCGCGGGTACCGACCAGAGCCTTCCTTGTATGTGGCTGATCTTCGGGAAGTTGTTCGGCGCTTACTCCCAGATGGGTTCCACAAACGCTCCTAAACCCTAAACCCTANNAAGCCCTAAAACCCGAAAACCCTAAAGCCCTAAAACACTAAGACCTTAAACCCTAAACCCTAAACCCTAAAAGGCAACTTCAAGCATTTCCTCTTCTTTGTCTTGGAGCCTGCGCCCCAGGATGTAGGGGTGTTTGGGTTTTTGCCCTTCGGATCTGCCTGGCTTGCAGACTCGACTAGCGGCGCCTGTAGTTCATCGTGTGACAGATGCCAAGCTTCGGGATTCTTTGCAGCTCTACCCGGAGGTCGGAATAAGTTACAAACTGCAAACTTAGGTTTTGACTTCTGAAAACGATTGCTCCCGGAGCTTCCACCGGTTCTGGCATTCTGGAGCCTTGCTTCAGACTGTGAGACGGTGTGTGAACAGAGAATCACCACACTCGTGCGCTAGAAGAACCCCCAACCCTAAACGCTAAAGTCAAAAGCCTAAACTCGAAGCCCCAAACCCCCAACCAGGTTCAACCTTGTCACCATGGACGAGATGCTGCCTCTGGCTGCTCTACTCAACGGAAGGGAGAGCTTGGGGCTTTCTAGCACTAAGCCCTCCACAAGGCTTCTTGGTGGCGGCTTGGGGCTTTAGCATTCAGGTTTGGGGCCTTCGGGCTTCGAGGTTCAGGGTTCATGGTTTCGGGATGCATCCGCAAGAGATGGCAAGAGGCAAGAACACACCGGCAGCTTCCCAGAAACCGGGTTGTTCAGAATGGGGGCTCTCTTCAAGACTCTCGGAATGCGCCAGGACCAGAGGGTATCAGAGTTTAGGGTGTTAATGTTTAACTAGTGTTTCATGTTACGTGTCTCGACCTCGCTCTGAGCTGTCTCGTGGCAGCCGTCACTGAGGATGGGCTCATCCGGAAGTTCGCTGGGGATCTAATCCAATGAGCTGCAGGGCCGTAGGACACCTGCTGCAGCCGTATGCCCCTGCGTTCCCGTAGGCCCGCTCATGCCGTTTATTACACACCTGGCATAAACATCAAGCGACTAAAAGTGTCAACAAGTTGGTATTTGGTAGGTATCAAGTATCAAGCAAAGTATGGGGGGCTTGCCTGTCCTCCGATCTTGTGATCGTCTTTCAATTCAACCAAATGTTGTGCTATCCAGCACTTGAATGAGTGGACAATCGGTGATTTCCTATTGGAGTCGTTGATGTAGGATGTTCGCAAACAGGATGTTGAGGCCGAAGCCCAATCTCCTTGACACTGATGTGTTGTTGATGCTTTGGCCTCAACTCCTTGCAGGAACCAGACCTGGTACTAGCTGCTTGGCGTTTCGTCTTGCCCGATAGGATTCTGAACATATCAGATGTCTTTTTACAAGGTCTCAGCCTCTGGAACTGTCAGCAGAGTGTGTAGCAGCAGCCTCAAAGATGCGTGTGTCATTGTCCTTGCAATTGTTGTGAAGGCTACCGCTTTTCTAAAGTTTAAACCCCAAAAACGAAGCCATAGTTTCTGGGAGCACTTGGCAGCTTGCATCAACAAATACCGTCGGTAGGGTGCAGGCTGACGGTTTAGGATTTAGGGTACTGCCGCAACGCTCTACAACATTCAGGGTGTGTTTGATTTAGGGTTTAGGGTTTAGGGTGTATGATTTAGGGTTTTTAGGGTTTAGGGTGTATGATTTGGGGTTTAGGGTTTAGGGTTTAGGGACTCCCGGACTGCTCGGAGAGCTGGCAGCCGGAACGCAAGGGTCGATGCAGAGGATGCTCTTCGAATTCAGGTGCCTAGGATCGACAGGGCGACGAGGTCTTTCATGACTTCAAATCTCGACCCCTTTAGGATGCTCTGTGTGTCATGGCATCATGCGCAGAAGTTTGCCCGTGTGCATGATGTGACTACTTAGACATCGCTCCCGATTCGTAGCATGTGCATGCTGCAGCGAGTTGGGGCTTTGCATCGGCATTGATCCTCACGCCAGAGGTGCCGGGATTCGTTCTCCAATTCTGGCAAATGAAGCCATAAACCCTTCACCCTAAACCCTAAACCCTGAACCCTAAACACTAAACCCAAAGCCCTCAAACCCCAAAACCACCCTAAACCCGAAAGTGCCGAAGCTTTGCTTCGACCTTCTTCCCGTGTTCAGCCACAGATCCGACTGAGCGCACCTGTCGATCCGAAGAGCCTTTAGGAGGCACCCCGAGGCGATGATGATCCTGACATGTTTCTTTCGGGTTCGGTTTCGGAACCGAGCCCTAAGATCTTGTTCACGACTCAGAAAGTGCATGCTCCGGAATGTTGGTTTTGTAACTTGTGACATAAGCCTTTCACGAACACCGAGACTTGTTGCAAGAAGTGAGGCAGAATCGTGCTTCGGGTGTCTGTGCATGCAACCTTGCCACCTGCAATGTTAGCTTCCCAGAAGCGACGTTTCTTACGTGGCCTTTGCATGATCTCCGGATCCCGAGACACTTTTCCAGGCGGCAAAATCGATTTATCGTTGGACAGGGGCCATCGGCATCCGGGATTTCCTGATGCAGAATAGTTGCCCGCAAACAGGCTTCACATGGTAAGAGACATAGATGGATGCCGTTGCTCTGTTTGAGCTCGTGACATTTATGGCTTACGAACAGGTCCGCGGAAAACATGTATTCTCTACCCGTCGATCCTCCAGCACCATCTGCAAGCAGCCCTACGGCTCTGCAGGCATGGTCCGCTTGTGCCTGATACATTGCAGCCAGTTCATTACTTCAGCAGACATCTAAGACTCTAGCTGAGTGGCTCATGGTATCACGGCCC